TGGATGTGCTTGTTAAGGTTTCAAACAAGGGTTCGGGTTGAAAACAAGGATTTGGGTTTCAAGACTTGCTCAGGGTTTCAATTTAGGGTTTTAAAACAAAGTTAAGGTTTCAAACCAGGGGTTATGGTTTGAAGCCTGCCTTTCACTTTCGAATAAAGGTCGGGCTTTTGGATTAGGGTTTAAAACCAAGGTTAGCGTTTTAAAAATGTGATTTCAAAACTGGAATTTAGAGACAGGTTTAGGGCTTCGTATTAAAGTTCAGGTTTCAAATGATGGTTTTCAGCAAAGTTTTTAAACGAAAGTCAACTGCTCTTGCCCATTTTCAGCGGGCACTTCAATTTGGTCTCCTTCCATTCGTATTGTATGACTTGTTTTGAAAATGTCGCCATTGGCCACCTGCTCCCACGCGCCTGAGGGTCTTCGGGGTGTAAACGTGTTGCAAATTCACACTGCAGCGCACCACCATCACTCAATGGTTCGTATCCCACCACATACGCAGAGCAGATGCTCTATTTATACATTTACATAATATTTACTTCTGGGTGCGCGCAACATGAATATTCACATTGCGTGGATTGTTCATTGTTTGGATTTTTTTTTTTTAAAATCCTCAACACTGTCACGGCGTAACTGAAGCAGTCGTAAACAGATTTTCATACACTTTGGTAGCTTGCATTGGTATGACCCCAGAGTGAGTTGAAATTTTTCTTGTGTTTTTGTTTTTTTGTTTTTTTTTGTATCCTAATCTGGTGTCGAATAAGACAATCCCGATCCTGTTTTGTAACATTGATGTACTTCAAAATTCGTCGGACTCAACAACAAATCACCGCTATCGTAAAATGGAATTTGCATTTGTGGCAGGGCTTGATTGGATCACATTCCAGGGGGCGCTCATGAGTAAATTTGAGCGGGTCAGTGATGCGTTTCTGTACTTAGTGCCGCCAAATGCCGAAGTGCGTTGGTGTTGTTTTTAATCACTCTTTGTCCAGAGGATTGTGAAAAACAGCACAACCGGTTTCCTCAAAATATTATTATTTTTTGTTTATTTATTTTTTACGAAATCTTTGTTTGAATTTATGGGTGGTTGGGGAAAAAAAGATTGTTACACCACTTAGCGTAAGTTGAAGACCGCAATTCAGGAAGGAACATGCCAGTGATGACACAAAACAGCCCAACACACAAGCTGAAGTGAATGTCAACATAAATAACAATGTCACAGTGCGTCATATCAGTGCAGGCAAACACCACGGGTGGCGTCACGCCAGCTCCAGGTCCAATTTCCTTCTTAGATTGTTTGCTGCCATCTTTGATTAGGAGCTCTCACTCCATCAGCCATTCGGAATCCAAGCCCCGAGGCTAGCTCCGCCATCCTCATGGTACATCCATATAAACAATCGCCCCCCCGAAGCCTGGCTGTGTTTAATGCTCCTGTCTGACTCTACGCTAACACAATTTCACGGAAAACCAATTTGTTGCCTGTCAGACAGAAAAGCGGCTATTTTTGCCGTGATTTGTCATCATGCTGTTGTTTTGTTTGTTTGTTTTTATGTGCTACATATACAAAAAAAAGGCAAACAGTTTCTGGTTTTCACAGCAGTTTTTTTTTTTTTTTTACATTGTTACTTTGATGGCTTTTACAGTGTTAGTAGAAATGCACTACATAAGTACTTCACTAATAATTTTGCTGCTTCTTCTAAAAAAAAAAAAAAATGCTTCCGTGAGTACGTGTGTTCTGCTGGAAATCTTTTTGATTTTCGGATTTTTTAACATGACTGTCCAAAATTGGTTCAGTAGTGCCCTCTCAAAAGTTTGGAGAAAAAAAATAACCGTCGACATCAGTTTCATGGACCGATGTGAAATTTGGGTGGATGTCTATCATCACAGGTTAAATGAAAGGGTCTCAAACACCCATTTTGAACAGAAAGTCGGCCATTTTGGTTTGAAACAGTGAATAAAGAGCAAATTGTGAATTTGGTTTATTAATTAAAAATTGATCCCACAGGATGGAGGTAGAGCACTACGTTTATATTAGACAATGCCAAGCTCTACTTTTGAATGAGACAGAGCTATGGCCTGAATGCAAAAATAGTGAATAAGTGAGTATTTCAGCAAATAATGCAGAACAGTTAATAAAAAAAAAAAATCAGCATATCAGTTCTTTAATTGATCCATTAAATTTCTATTTGAGTAAAACAAACCATCCATCCATCTATCCATTCTCTGAACCGTTCATCCTCATTAGGGTCGTGGGCTCGCTGGAGCCTATCTCAGCTAAATGTTTGATTTTCTCTCGAAAAACTACCAAAAGAATTAAATGGCGGTAGGATTCTTAAGTGTTGTGGCATGGTCGCCTTGCTAAAAGTCACCACTGTATTCAAGTTAAATGTCAAAATATCACATTTTACAGTTGTGCAAAAAGTAACGCGGACATAAAGTCATTCAAATTCAGCGACAGTTGTCCGCTTGTCATTTCTACATTTTCGATGCAACTCGGCCAACATTGCTAATTTCATGTTGTCCCAACAACGGACGTTACTTCTCTTCCATCTCGGGTATCCTGGTTGTCGACCACAGAATCCAAAAATCCCGCTTTCGCGAAAACACAGCGATCTCCGATGATGAAATAGCTGTGTGTGTGTGTGTGTGTGTGTGTGTGTGTGTGTGTGTGTGTGTGTATTTTTAAAAGGCGGGATTAATAGTGACTCCCAGAGTGATTAGCGCCCACTCGGGGAAGAAGTGGCCCGAGGCTGTGTTTCCACGACTAATTGAAAGCGCTCCTTATTTACTCTTCTCTGCTTTTCACTTCCTGCTCTGATCCTCATCGTGCCGTTGTAGCTTCCCTCCGCCAGGAGTTCTTCTCACACCAAAGGCAAGAAAACCAAATTAGGGATCACAGAAGGATTAATGCGCCAGTGGTGCAGGAAGATGGAAATGGGGGGGGGCTATATTTCAGTCATTTTCCATCGCGGCCTATTTCTTTGTGTTAATTCCTTCACGCGTGTTAGTTTCCAAAGCGGCAGCATTGTGGTGCAGTAGGACACTGTGATTGAGAAATTCGGG